CTCATTTCCTCCATGGAGCTGAAATGACATCATTTCTCATTTTATCCTCACAGCACTAATCTTGGGAGTTAGTCTGGGCTAAGAAAAATAATTGTCCAAAGTCACCCAGTGAGATGCATGGTAACTGGAGACCTAAACATGGCTATCCTGAGTCCAATCCAACATCTTAATTTATATCACACTGGCCCTTGAAAAAGATATCAAAGTAAAATAAATGTTAAAATTCATTGGAAAGTCTAGGATAGACCTTGGTAGATTTACAGATGATTCAAAGCTTGTTTGTATCATTCTTCCTTTTTGTAACTTAACCTGAAAATATTTTTGTGGGCACAGACTTTGCAGGCTGAAAGTCCTCCTGAATCACAATGTCAATAGAAAAGGAAGGAGAAGAAGGTTTCATTTGTCATTTATGAGCTGTCAGCAAGATGTTTCCAAAGAGGATGATGTTTACTGTACTTGAGAAGTGGCTCCTTTGCAAGCCACAATATTCCATAACTGGCAGCAGCCATTTCCAATCCACTTATAGCATTGTTGCACTGGGATTAAAGTCTTATTTTTCTTGGAAAGTAGGCATCAAAGAAAGAAGGGCCAGATTTAAGTCTTGGGAACCAGGACCTGTCCCTGGAGACCTCTGAATATCAGCACTATCCACATTGTGCAACTCCTATTGTATAATTACAGACCTGTTGTCAGCTGCAGATAACCAAGAGCAATCATAGAACATAGAACAATGGGGTTGGAAGAGACCTTGGAGGTCTTCTCTCCCATGATCTGCCCAGGGCAGGAGACCCTGTACCGTTAGAGACAAATGGCTGTCCAATCTCTTCCCAAAAACCCCATCTAAAGCGTAAAAAGGTATTTCACTATTTGAGAAAACTTAATGCTCATATAATCTGTCTCCAAGAAACACATATTAAAAACAAGACCAGAATTATTTAACAAATGAAAGACATGGGGAGAATTTTATATCTGCTGGGCTAAAAAATATTAATCAAGTGGTGTCATATATAAAATCCCAATTTAAACCTAGGCTTCTTTGATCAGATGAATATGGAAGATTTGTAATGGTGGAAATTGAATTTAACGGAACAAAATCAATAATGATTGGTTTTTATGTGCCAAATGAGGGAAAAGAAATTTCTTTGAGTATCTTATGGACCAACTCTCGCCTTTTTCATATGAAAGTTGGCTTATGTGGGGGATTGGAATAGTGTGACTGCACCATTTTGGGATAAAACATCTATTAAGAGGATCAGACCCCCCCAGGGTAAATTGCCAAATATATTCTTTGAAATGATGGACAATTTAATGTCAGTAGACTCATGGAGGCATAAAAATGGCTCCGCAAGAGAATATACCTTTTTTTCAGAAAGGCACAAAACTTTTCAAGGATTGACATGATATGGATCTCTAAAAAAGTAGCAAATAGAATTTTGAAAGTTGATATCCTACCTAAATCTTTTTCTGACTATAATCCAATTTTTTGGTACTTAGAAAAAAGAGTTTGAGTTACAGGGTACAGTGTTCAAGTCTTTCACGGTCATTCTGAGTCTTGAGCTTATCTTTTAAAGTGTTGGCTATTCTCCCCAGCTTGGGGTTGCCTTCAATTTGATGAGTTCCCCTTCCATTCATTCATCTCGATCACTTATGAAGATGTTGAAGAGTACTGAGCTTAAGATAGAACTTTGGGATACTTCACTGCATACTTCCTGCCATGTAGATGTAGTTCCATTGAGAACTACCTGCTGAGTGTGGTTGGTCAGTCAGTTGTGAATCCATCTTGTGGTGGCACTGATTATCCCACATTGTTCAGTCTTACCAAGAGGTAGGCCGTAGTCTACTTTGTCAAATGCCACATTGAAGTCTAGTAAAACTATGTCCACACTGTTTCCCTTATCCACTGATTTACCATAAATGCCGGCGTATAAGACGACTTCTGCGAGCGTTGAAATCGGCGCCAAAGACCGGGGTCGTCTTATACACCGAGTCATCTTATACGCCGGAAATACTGGTAGTTTCCGGCGTATAAGACGACGTTCTAGGAATGCGGCCCGGCTATAAAGACGGGGGTCGTCTTATACGCCGGGTCGCCTAATACGCCGGCATATACGGTAGTCATTTTGTCAAAGAAAGAAATAAGGAATGATCTGTTTTTGACAAACCCATGGTGGCCTCTGAGCTGGTCAGCTATACTGGACTTAATTCTTACAAACAGAGATGGAATGATTGAGGGAATTGAAGTTGAGGAACTTTGGCAGAGAGTCACCCTGTCATGCTGGAATTCAACACAATGCAGGAACAATTAATTAAATGAAGCCATTGAAATCAAGGCACAGGAGGGTTTATACTTGCCACTATACACCAGAATCTAGTCAACTAATAGTCAGTGATGAATTGGCACTAGATAAGGGTCAATGGAATTCATGGAGGGCAGGAACTGGGTCTCTTGTGCCAATGGAATGATTCCAAACTGATGTGACATTTAACTCCACCCTCCAGCTTTGTCTGTTCTTCTTCTATATCTATATGATACATGGCCAAATGTTTTGTTCTTCATTTCTGGATTTTATTTATATTTTATCCCCATATTTATTATTTTTTATAAATAAGTCAAAGTCTCCTGGTTTCTAGACCAGCATCTTAACCACTACACCAAACTGGCTCTTTATGACTCCGTTTGTTATTCATTTATGAAACTCTCCACCAATTGTAACTACGATTAACAATATCCAGTGATTTTCATGAGTTTTGACTGCAGCTATGGGCATCTGCAGGGAGGGTTAATTAAAAAAAGTGCCAAGATGGTGGCCACAAAGCCTTCTCTCTTTCATATTGGCAAGTGAAATATGTGCATCATTCATTTCCACTAATTCTAATGTTGCATAAGCACCATGTGACCCTTTACAGCTTTGGAAGATAAAATCAAAACAAGCAGAGAAAACAAAGAAATAAAGAAATAGATCAGGGAATAAAATGGTTCTTTTCTATATTCTCTTTGGCACTGATCTCCTTTTAATCTTCTTTAATCTCATTTTGTTGGTTATTTTCAATCAGATGCTGGCAAGACACAAGGCAAAACAACTGTCAAAGAATTATTATGCTTTTCCTTTTGGAAATCAGTTATTATTAGTGTTATTAAGGCTGTCTTTTAGGATGCAGGCTTTGCTACTGTAAAGCAATTGTTTACAGTGCTGATACTACTGCTGTTTTTAAGCAACTGTTGCTCATGAATACTGTGGGGTCCTTTTGTCTTGCACACATTTCATTACCAAACTAGGTAATATCATCAATGCTGGAATGGGATTTGCTCTCTCTTTATATACAAGTGGGTTTCCTTATTGGTATTGGTGGGAATCTTTGTAGTCCCAAGGTCTTTGTCGCATACCATTACTGTTTCTGATTCAAAGGATACTAGATAGTGGAAATGCCACTCCTTCCTATTTTCTGGGATCTTATCCTGCCTGTCATCAGAACAATGTGTGTTAAAGTACATCTGGCAAAAGAAATGCAAAGTTTACTCTCTTTACATTGTCAAAATCCACATAATTAGTGAGCTTCCTTTAGTTGTATTGTTCCCAAAAGCTTCTGTTTCCTCTGCCAGTTGTGTCTGACTCTAGAGGGCGCTGTTCATCTCAGATTCACAGCTGAAGAGCTTCTGGGGTCACATGGCCCTCATGAATATATGCAAATAGAAAACAAATATCTAGAATGTGTTTAAGAGTGCAGTTGAGATTCATGTACAGTAGGAATCTGCAATCAGGGAATTTCCACCTTTTTGAATCCAGAGAATCTTTACTAGCGGTCAGCATTTAGAATTGTCTTCCAGGTCATGGCTAGCCCAAAGGTTCTGTTCAAAAGGCAACTGGACTTTCTTGGTTGTTGTTGATTTCTGAATATTTAAGACAGAGATATTAAATCTGAAGGTTGTTTTAGGTATTAGGGACAAACCAATTGAAAAACAATTTGGGATGTTATCACTTTATGTTATGACTGCTGCGAGGATTGTACTTGCTAAGCCCTGTGCTGACTGTGGAAGAATGGATCTTGAAATTGTCTGAACTGCAGAGATGGCAAAACCAACCGCTTTGATCAGACAATGGACTAGAAGGTTTATAAGAGACTGGAAGCCGTTGGTGGACTTTCTACCTGTTGAATACAATAATAGATGGATTCTCTCCTCTGGAATATTTGTTTGTTTAATATAGTATTTTTGTCAAATAAGGATGGGAAAGCTTATAACTATTTGTAGACCCGTTACGTAAGAGAAGGAGAATCTACCGTTCTTTTCAATGTTTCAGAATGCAGCCGGGATGGGCTCTTTTTGTTCCATGTCAGACACGAATGAAGGAGAACATAATATTTCAGGATCCAATCTGGTTTGGTCACCAGGACCAGTTTCTGTTTCCTGACCTTTCGGACTCATGCTGGACACAGAGACGGGCTCTGAGGATGGGCTCCAGCATGAGACTGGAAGCTTGGAACATGAAGCTTCTGTTTCTGATAACTGACCCAGATTGAATCCTAGAATATTAGATATATTAAACATTTAGGTCTCCCCACCTATTTTTGTACCCATTTAAAAAAACACTTTATTTTTCTTTTTTCTGCACTCTTATGTTGGTGCTCATTTTTCTGTTTCTCTGTTTTCATGAGTTTTGTAAATATTTTTTTACAAAAAGAAAATGTTTTGCTTAATCCAAGAAGCTTCTTCAGTTCTTCACTTGGATGAAAAGTGAAAGATTTTCAAGAAAAAAAAAAGAGAAGGTCCACCTGCCTTTTGAAAAGTACCTTTGGAATTGTATTGCAACATGTGGATGATTTATTGTTAGGGGCTCCTTCTGAGACAAAATACTATATTTTGAATTTTATGGATGACTGTGAATAAGTTCCTTTAATGCCAGTAGATAATTCACCTGATGGTTTACCTCAGGATTGCACGCAAGTTCTTGATGCAGTTTACTCCAGCAAACCAGATTTGAAAAATGAGCCTTTACAAAATGCAGAATGAGAATAGTGAGTTTATTGATGGAAGCAGCTACATCTTGGAAAGCCAGCATGAAATTTTGGGAGATGAAGCATTGACTTTGAATACACCAGCTCAAAAGGCAGAACCTGTTGTATTAAATGTGCTATACAATTGGCAAATGGTAAAATGGCCATTTTTTTTCTTGACAGCAAATAAGTCGTTGGTGTTGTACATGCCCATGGAGCTTTGTGGCGAGAAAAAGGTTTGATTACAGCAAAAGGTAAACAGATTAAATATGGAGAAGAAATATTACAGAATTTAGATGCCATCTGGAAATTAAGGGTGATTTACTAGTAGGATGCAGGCAGATGGGTCTCTTTGGACTTGAGGGAAGTTGAACCTTATGGAAGAAATCAAATCTGAGAAAAGCCAGCGGTTGTTTAGTAGGCTGTAGTCACATCAATACACTGTCCATTGCTGCCGACCTGAAAGTCAAAGCAAGAGATTATTAATGAAGTAAGACAGAACTTTCTGAACTAATTGAAACTTCTTTCAGGTTCTATATAGTATAAAAATGAAGGGGAAGTGATTCCTGATCCTTTAAGGGAAGCTTTGGGTTTGCTTCATTGTTAGGTCACAACCAGCTCTGCCCTGATTTTCTCATTTCTCTCTTCCACCTAAGCACAAGGCTCTGAGAAGGCCAAGTGTTGTTCTTGGAAGAAAGAAACAGCCCTGGACATCCACCTCATTTGTTGGGGTTGTTCTTTGAAGGAAAAACAAAATAACAACAACCAAAAGAACGCTAGATGGATACTTTTTCTTCTATGTAGATTCACAACTTTCAGCATTGATTGATTGCAAAAAATGTTTAGTGATCACCCCTTGGAATCAGACTTTAGAGCACACAGATTGGAGATAATCTTTTACTAACCATTCCATCTCCATTGTTGGTTAGGCATGGAAGCGGGGACAGTCAGCAGATTGGCCAGTGCAGTGATCATCTGGGTTATCACCCCTTGCTCTCCGGCATATTTTTCCTTTTTTTATAAACTGTGGGTGAGAATCAAAAATACTCCCAGCTATCACTCTTCAGCAGCAGAGATCAAAGAGTCAAACCATGATTCGCAACACATTTCAAAACCTCCTCTTCATCAGTTTTGTGGATCACCAAGCAAACATCCCTGCCCTGCCACAACTGTGTGTGATGCCTAGAAGTCCCAGTCTGTCTTATTTGCTGTGGGGAAATGGTTGCAACGAAAGGCTCAGTTCCTGAAAGACAAGTTCTACCTGTTGGCTGACCATAAAGTGAAAATCAATTGGGCTCCCATGAAAAAGCAGCAAAAAGTGAATTGCTGAACTTCTCATGATATATTTTTATTTCTCTACATGGGAAGAAGCATTCATAGAATTTTCCGTCATGTGCTATAAAACACGTGGCTCCCTTCTCCTGCTGTGAATCTAGGCTTGTAATGGAAATATGGAAATAACAGAATGTTTTGGGCCACTCTGCTCAAAAAGTTCATTACAGAGTCCACTGGGATCCCACAAAGAAAGAAGGAATGAGAAACTTGCACCTCTCTTTTCATGGTCCTGCAGCACCTCCAGAATGTGCCACCAAAACACCTGAATTTAGAGCTTTAGAGAGCAGGTAGAGAACTTAAAGTGGGAAAAAGGTAACTTTACTTCCAAAGATCTCCTGCACCTATTTCCATCCTAAAAGGCTCAGAGAGGAAAATGTCACAGCATTACCAGGGACCTCTTAGAAATTTTCAGAAAGTCAGGAAGCTGAGTTAGGGCATCAGTCTCAAACATTGCCTATTCTTATTTAAAATGGGTTTCCATGCAATCTCAGTCAAAGAACAAATATATTAGTTTTAAAGACACAATTTAACGTGCTGAAAGAGTGCATCTGATATTGAGACAAGGCTGAATTTTGGTTAAACTATCCTCTGTATGTAAATGTTCATAAGGGTCAAATAAACTGGAAGAAGGGATAGGGATAGGGTTGAAATGTTTTGATCATAGTAAACAGCCAAGAGATATTACTTTTCTGTATGGCTAGTATGGAGCAGAATAAAATCTCTCCTGGTGTTAAAAATAAACAAGTCTTACTTTGCACTGGTCACAACACAGTCCTTCTGCACACTGTGCCCCTGGTCTCAGTTTACAGGTTGCAGCATCGCAGCATGGATTCTGAAAACCAAAACATATCAAATGATATCATAGAATTTTCTTTTTTAATTGGTCTATTTTGAAGAGGGAAATTTCTGCAATGTGTTCCCTCTTATGGGTTCATGCTAGCAAATGCACAAATTGTTTGTTATTGCAAACGGATAATGGCATCTGTCTGTGGAAGAGCCTTATCTGATATTTCCTATGTGACAAGAATAAAACAAAAATATCCTCATCTCCTAATTGTGAAGCCCACATGACTTACAGCCCTATTCCTTTCTTATTCATGAGAGATTTTCTACTCATCATGCCAGCCTTTGAAGTAGTCCAGAGAAGAAGCACTAACCATGAATATTAACGCTACCTTGATTGTAAGGTGACCATAGCATAATCTTTCAATACTGAAAGTACATTTCTACCACCTCATCTTTACGAACCAAGAGAATGGGTGGAAGGTGTTCTTCTTGAGATGTTTGCCATGGCCCATTGCTTCTGCAGGCTAATCTACTTCTTATATGACCATTGAGTAGACATTTCCTCCTTCTTTTGTCTCTCAAGGACATTCTCACAGACCGTTACAAGTGTATTTAACAATATAAAAATTACTGTTCTTATAAAAATATTATTAGGATGAGAGCATAGATTAAAAATCATCAGTTATGGAGAAAGCAGCTCAAGAAAACAGTGGGCAGATAATGTGGCCATGTCAACAAAATAGGAGTTTTCAGGAGGGAAGGATTTTTTGGGAGTTGTCAATCACCCATTTTTTAAAATACACCATCTTCCCCAAATGGTAGTGAGGTACCAGTTCTCCATTCCTTTACAACTGGTTAACCAAATCTCAAAAACCCCTTCATACATGTCTGTATGAAGGGCACAAACCAATGCCATTCACACACCAACCTCTTGGATGGCTCAAACCACTTAGACAGCCAGATCAGTTTTCAAGGATTCCCATTTTTGAGAAAATTCTGCATATTCTTCTTGATTTAAAAAAAAAAGACTTACTGCAGGAGAGCCACAGTCACATTCTTCTCCCGCCTCCAAAAGTTCATTTCTAGAAACTGTATCTGTTCTCAAGGGTTCATTGAGCATGCATTGTGGGTTATGATCAGTAAGATACGTCTGATATTGATTCAGACTACAATCGCTGAACTCAAAGGAAAGTTCTTCACTGTAGAGATGAACCAAAATAAGACCATGACATCATCCATATTTGGACTAGGAACAGAATTTATTGCAAAAACACATAAGATAAAAAAGGGATGGCTAATGAAGAAATGCAATATTTTTTCCCTCTAAAGCTAACAAAATAGATAAGATAACCATTTGTATCCCTTGATCTTAGTTCCAGATTATGCTCCCTCAGTTTCAATTCCACTATGTTTCCTTTCTTTTTTAACAAAATACATTTGCAATGAGAACTCCATGTGATATTAATTGATTGAGCTGCATCTTGTGTTTGAATGGGCTGCTTTTTATTTTCATTTTTAGTCAGCCTCTCTGTGGAAGGAAAATAATATTTGAAGGGAAAACAGTGGAATTTTGATCCAGTTTTTCTTTTCTTCATTTGGAGGCATTGTACTTTTTATAACAATGAATAAAGAGCTAAGTGTGCTACCTCTCTATTTGCCTTAAAGTATTTGTTGTTCTTTTGTTTCTTGAAAGGTGATAATATCAGCAACATGCCGTTGACCTCTGAAGCTGAATACTTAAATAGATGCAAATATGGCATCCTAAGCCCAGCAAAGCACCTTCCTAATGTTAATTCAAATCATTAGGAATATAATCATTGGCCCTCAAATTAAGGGATGGAAACAAGAATGCAAAGAGAAACTGCTGGTGGCCATTAAATAGACAAGATGGTCTTCTTCCAAGGTCAAAGTTGTTTTCTAAACAAAGTCTTCTGTATAAAACAGCACAAAATGTCTAGAAGTATTAAAGAGTAATCACGATACCCAGAAATTGTTCAGGAAGGACAGGAAAGGCTACGGGGCATTTTCCATACTTCCTGGCCTCCTTGCCATTGCATGAAATGGGAGGCAATGAAGTTCTCAGGCTTTAGCCAAAGAAAGCAGAAATTGATCAATAGCTGGGATGCTCACTGAGCCTACACAAAACACTTACACAAAAGTTATGGGGAGTTTTGCAACAGACAATTGCTGAGAAGGTTTTGCTTCTTTTTTCCTTTTCCTTTTCCTTCTTGATGAAGTAATGCCTAAACTTCCACCCAGAAGAAAATATTAGTAGTCCTTGACTTGCTGTCACAACTGGGAGCAGAATTTCCGTTGCCCAGCAAGCCAGTTGTTAAGTGAGTCGTGCTCATTTTTTACAACCAGTTTTGCCACTTTGTTAAGTGAACCACACAGTCATTAAGGGACCCAGCTTGCTCCATTGGCTTTGCATATGGGAAGACAGCTGGGAAAGTCACAAATGAGGATCCCATGAATGAAGGATGCTGCAAGTGTCATAAATACATGCCAACTGCCCAAATTGTCGCCAACTGCCCAAATTTTGATTCTGTGACTGAAGAGAGGCTGCAATGGCTGTAATTGCGAGGATCAGTCATAAGTCACTGTTCTCAGGGCCATTGTAACTTTGAACGGTTGCTAAACAAATAGTTGTAAGTCAATGACTTCCTGTAAGTTGCTACCTGCTGATTGCAGAAGACTGCAATATATGACAGAGATGTAACATATTCTACCTTGATGAAAGGGCAAGGCAGGAAAACCCAAGGATGCTAATTTATCCTTTTCTTCCTGCTGTTGCCTGGTTCAGAATAATTTTTTCCCCATTTTGCTTCCCACTTTAGGAAAGACTTTAATGTCTAACTTGGGTTCCTCTTTTATCCATCACAGATATTAATATTTGGTTTCTTTGGCTATGCTTCCTAATGCTGTTTCTTTAAACTCTGGTGTTTTGGAGGAAGCTACTGAAGGATGGCTATTCAAATGTTGAGGACATTTCTACCTTTTTAAATATGACACATTTTAACTACACATGGAAAGTGACACACAAATGACTCAAACCCTCTTTTTTTGTAACTCCCTGACCATTTAATTTTTGTAAATTCTCAGTATATTTAATTTAACAATTAATTGCAACCATTTAAAAATAACTTGATTGGAAAGGCATTAAAAGTTTTCCTCAATCCTTACCTTAGTTCTTCACTCATAATGCATGAGTCAGCATCGCAATGACACTGATTTCCATCATGACTAATGCCCAGATTATGAGCCAGCTCATGGGCCATTGTAACTGCAACCCAAAGATTTATTGCACTATGATCCTGAAGAAACGAAAATACTTTGTTTATTGTTAGTGAAAGTGAATCCAATTATTATTAGCACTAAGTGGCTAAAACTGGTGACTAAATGACCAATTTCAAGTTGAGGATACCATATCAGGATTCCTCTAGCTCTTCTGAATGTATGTGTGCCCACCAAGACTCCAGAACATACACAAATACATTCAGAAAGAAACTTTAAAGCCCAGAAGCCACAGCACAGGAGAAGGTCAAAATTTATGCATCCATTTGCTGTCTGCATTTATTCAGTTACTAAAACTTACAGGTAACTTCAGGACCTGGAGATGTCAAATCCATAAATAAATATCGATGAAAATAATGTGGATCAAAAATAAGAAGAGATTTCAGTAGTAAAGGAGTAATGCCTGTATGTAAGTTTTCACTTGAGTACAAATAGATGACAGGGATCCTTTCTACTAACCGTAATAATTCCTACAGATTTCCTCGGGTCGCACATGCTGTCTGTGTAAGCTCTTCCTATAATATTTTCTTGGAAGTTAATGGCCCTATAAGAAAGAAGGGGAGGGGGATAAAATTTATAGAAGATGGAAGCACATTATGTAGCCTTAAGGCAGACATAACTATGGCTTTCTGCAAATCCCTCGACTCGTCCTCAGTTACTACCAGTTTTCAGAATGTTAGAATTCATTTTAGGCTCTAATCTCAGAAGTCATTTAACTAAGCAGGTTCTGTTAAAAATATTCAGGATGCATTTTCACTGTATGGTGAATCTGGCTGGTGTTAGCATAAATGAGGTTGGGGAGAGGGGTTAGCACATTGTCTGAATGCAACCCATTGGGTTAATTTAATTCCATTAACTATGCAAACCCCAAATACATATTTATTTAAAAGATTTTGTCTATCAGTTTAGCTGTGAGGTTATTGAAGACTAGATAGTTTGGGGAAAGGTGATTGGATGGAAAGTCAAATCATCATCTGTGGGAAAAATAAAAATGTTTTTTTTTTTTGGTAATTTTTAATATTCTCCCTTGCACTTAGATCTGCCCTCCATCTAGTTCCTATTTCATAAGACCTACTTGTTATGCAAGTGTCCTGTAAAATTGCTCACAACACAATTGTTATTTGTGCAATATCTTATAGATATAATGTCAAAGCAAGGGTCATCAACAATAAGCACGTCAGTTTCCCCACTTATAAAATGGAATGACAATATATAGACTGATGGGGTGTGGAACTGAGCAGTTAAGACACTGGGCTTGTTGACTGGAAGGTGGACAGACCTAAGCTCTGCCTGATGCAGTGAGCTCCCATTACTTGCTCCAGATCCTGCCAGCCTATCAATTTAAAAGCATGGAAACACAAGTAGATAAATAGGCACCATTTCGGGGAAGGTAATATCATTCTGTGTTGTTCTGTATAATGCAAGTGTTCATTTACTTGGTGCAGAAGGGGAACCAAAACATTATTTAATTAAATTAAGAATGAATGTGTAAGAACAGCAAAAGTATAGCAGGATAATCATAATAGTTTCAATTTTAAATCCAGGTTTTTCACCTGCAATCATTCAAGGACTTCTCAAAAGCAGCTCTCATCTACAAAATAAGTGGTTGACTTTGATTCAGAATCTTAGTTCACACATGGTTTAAAGCATAGAGCAGAAGGTCTGTGCAAGCACTAACCTCCCCATAACTCTCCACTCCTGGCCACTCCCACTCCCTTTCCCCACAATGAGACATACGTGAGTAACTGAGCATTATCATGACTTATGCGATTCAGCAAGACTGTCTCTCTCCATTCTCCAAATGCTTCCAAAGTATCAGCTGCTGCTGACTGCACGTTGATCTGATCTTGGTTGGACCAAATTTCTAGGTCAGTCAGTGAGACAACAATATGCAAAGATCTGTAAAACTGTCAGGTGGACATGACATCAATCAGAAACTCAAACAAAAGTAAAACATTTCAAGATTGACATTGGCCTCTATGGGCATGTGAAAAAAATAGATCTAGGCATCAATAGAAGAGAAATCTTTGGAGCTCAAGGTTAAAGTCCTTGGTGCTCTCTGAGTTTGCTGCTTTGCTTACTCATGTGGAGTAGTCAGATAATGAAATGTCTGCAAGGATACCACCAAGCTCAGATAGCACTGAGGACTCTGTATATTGAGGAATAATAATAATGTATTAAGTAGGAGAAATAAATAAAAATATAAAAAGAAGCAGGAGATTATCCTCTGTAAACAGGAACAGAAGACTAGGAGGACTAAAAGGAGAGTTGACTCATCAATCTTCCTGTTCTCTCCCTGTTTCTAACTGATCATCCACAGTGAAAATATAAACAAGGCGAATAGGAGACTGCAATATGAGCATATCTCCTCCTAAGTACCACAATCCAAGTCAAGTTGATGTCCTCTCTCCAGGTTTCTTCATAGGGATCAGTTTCATAATCAACTGAGCTTGGAATAGGCTGACTCTGTCCATCTCTTTCTAATCTCCAAGATCAGAACCATTAACCACAGCCTGAAAGAATCCAGCTACAGATATAGTTCTGATTGAATTCTTGCAACACTTTTGGATCTGCATCCTCCCAACACAGTGGCTGTATTCCCATAAGAGGCTTATTAACCTAGTTACTGAATTAACTCATTTTCTGGGATGGCCTCACATGCTGGATCACCAGCTGACCAAATGACCTAGTTTGGCCTCACTCAAAGCCACGAAAGTTAGCATTCTTGTAGAAATCCATCTACTCTCTCTCTTTACCTGATTAAGTGTGTTGTGTGAAAACAGTGAAAATCTGGGCTGGGGCTAAGAGAAGTTTAAAATCAACAAGTGAAATAATATTTGCCATGTCCTCTTACCACATTTATAGTGTTGACAATTTCATGTACCCATATTCTTATAGTATTTAAATTGCTGTTGTATTTCGTGAACTACAGAAAAGATAAAAATGTTAAGATGAGATCATAATTATAGGACAAAGGGAAAGAAGGAGGGAGAGAAAGAACAGATCAGTGAAAGGATCATTGAATTTGTTGATGTAATAAGAATTTTTATCCAAGCAGTCCAAAGAATTCTTTTGTGCTGATTTTTTAATCTACATTTTTGCCATTAATATATTAAGGTTTTTAACTTTTCAGCAGCATTCATGGGCTTTCTTCCTGGTTGGAGATAATGTTGGTCAGCCCACTGAAATGCTTTCCCAAATTGGATGCTACATTTCCATGTTCAGAGATGTGTGAGATAAGCATTCTTCACTATACATCTTTTTCTTCCTGTGTTGTCAATTTGGACAAACAAAGAGTGCAGGAACGTTTCAAAGAAAGCTACAGAACTGTTTAACCAGTGAAGGATAAAAATAAATTTAGATGTTATCCAGGAAGAACAAATGTGCAAATTAGAGTATATTTACAAATGACTCTTAACTTTGTAAATATTGCTTGGGTTCAATAAGAAAAATATCAAAGTTTATGATAAAGCACATTTTAAGAGAAAGGATGTTTTTTATTCTCTTCAAAAATGCCCATATTTTAAAAGGAAGAAACAAAATGCTGTGCTCAATGCAGAAAGAAAATGGAGAGATATCCAGGATACTTACCATTCTGTGATCCGCAACTATGACAAGCTCAATGTATCTTTGGGGGAATCTTTGTTGCTAAACAGAACAATAAACAAAAGGCTGTTTAGACATGTTGCTCCCAGCAGCCAACAAGAATGTTGGTCATCATCAGATAATCAGAAAAGTGCTTGTTTTACTCTCTGGTCAAAATACTTGAACTTTGAGAAATACTGGTTCTTTCAAGAAGACATTTATAGGGAAATAGCTTGTTAAAATTTTAGCTCTGGGCCTTGAGCCCTTTGGAACTGGGCCATGGAAGTGGCAGGTGAGCACCTGCATCTCCACTTGCATGACCAGCGAGCAAGCATTTTTGATCATAGTAATCAGCCAGATATCAGCTATTTGCATGGGTGTGTGTGTGTGCCCACTGCTCGCACAAATAGAACGGGGTGCATGCATGACCCCACTGCTCATGTGGAACCATCCCCTCCCCCCACCTGTCTACAAAACTGAAAAGGTTGGGGAACTCTAACTTAGAGAAAGTGCTGACAAAGTTTTGAGGGAAAAATACATTATGCAATGGATTGTCAAGCACAAACAAAAGTGGTCTCCTTTAATAAAAATCACTTTCTTTGTATTAATAAGGTGTGGCAGTTGTTTCCAGTTAATCTATTTTTAGAATTTATGATGCCTACATTTAAAGAAAAATTATATATGAACTGAATTTAATAGGAATAAGAACAGGCATGTGAGGAAATTGCTCTCTTTGACCTGTTTTTCAGCCTGTTGAAATGATGCTCCAATGACTTTCTCACCTTTCCTTCCCTTTCTCAAAGAAAGGATCCCAACCAATCACGTGAGAAACACGGTGATGTGGTCATGCTATGGAACCAATTAGACCTTGCCTGCAATCATATCATATGACACATCAAAGAGAAAGTAATGGGGAGGCAATCAGACATTTTGACCCACTGAACTCACTCTAAATGGTCAAAGAATTATGCCTTTCTTTTGATGTAATTTTAAAACAATTACTGAAATATTGCTTCAGACTTCTCAGGCAGAAGGAACAAGAAAACATGGTTAATTGGTCAGAGTATTTTCTTTATTGCTGTTCTTGTATAGACAGAAAACTTGCCAGACTAAAGCACACTGTGTGTAACCATGAGATACACCTGTGAAGGTTTTAGGGAGGATCCCTTCAGGCCTTCTTTCTGCCATCCAAGGACTCATTGCTGATCTGCCCCTTGTTTCCCTGGGAAGGAGCCCCTCCCTCCTGCATTCCCCTGTTGGATTCCACCACTAGAGTACCCAGATTGCTCAGGAAGTAGACTTATGCTAAGACCTGAAGGTGTGAGGGTGCATTACTTGCTTCTTTCCCTAGGAAAGTGTACTCGTGTTTTTTCAGCATACAGAACTACAAGGCCAAATTGCCAATTCCAGAGTGCAATTTCTCTCCTTGCTCTCTGACAGCCACTTTCTTAACTCTGCTGCACAAGATCTGGTTTGAATAAAGTGATGATGACCTGACATTGAGACAAGAACATTCAAGATAGAGGACCAATTAAGGACCAATTATACGTAATGTATATAACCACAACTCTGTTGAGGATAAAGATTCTTGAATTGCAAAAAGACTGAAGCCAAAAGGGAAGCCAGACTTCAAAATCAGTTTTGGTATTCCATTGTAACAACAATTGTTGTTCCATGTCAATTTTAACATTTTAATAAAAAAAGTTGAGATTTAGAACTTCTAGATATGTATTAGGCAATTTCCTCTTTTGCCACCAAAAGGAAGGGAGGAAGGAAGGAAATGTCACTTTGGATGCAATGTTTTGTTTTCTAGTTTTTGTGCTTCTAGTAAAGGAGGAAAATATTGGGAATCTGGCCAATTGTGACCAGATTCAATTTGTCAGTATTTATTCAAACTTGATGATTCAAATCAAATTGGAAAATGGAGTCAAGATTATGTAATGGTCTTATAAGACATCTCAAAATTGTTAAATATTTCAAACCAGTTTCTCCCTCTATCCCAAGTCCTCTCTGCATGCAAAAAGAGGCATCCAAATTGACTGCTTTTCAAAACGAACTTAGGAACTGGATATGATTTGGAGATTCATTTAAATCCATTTTGATTCAAATCTGTACGACCAAAGAAAATGCTATAAGCCTGGAACATGTATTTTCTGTTCACCATGTTCCCATTATTTCTTTTATACCATGGCTAGAATAAAAAGATAGAAATGGGGGGTCCTCCCTTCTGAATTCTATCTAAACACCCCCACCCAAAGAATTTCTCTCCTACTTTATATTTTAGAAACAAGTAAATGAATTCCAGTTCTCAAACCATGTTTGCTATGAGACTTACTTCAGCAGTAACATCTAAATGAGAGGCCTTTTTGATGAGCTTATCTGATTCCCAATTCTGGGTTACCCCACACATTTTGGGGGCCTCATCCTCTTTTTCTACATTTTCATATTTGAAGACTGCATGGGCTTCACTGTCGGGAAGCTTCAAGGGTTCAATAAGGTACATCTCCCCTTGAAGCTTGAAATGTCCTCTGCAAAACAATGTGGAAAAGGGTGATCAGAGATGGAGAAGCGACAGAAGAGAATATTGTTAGGTCAGAGATCACCTGCACTGATGATGTTAGCTAGTTGGGTAATGAAACTCAGCTCTGAGACCCATTTTTAACTAGCCAAGTGAACATTCTCTGTGTTTTTGAATTCCTTCTTAACACTCACTGAATTTTTTTATTTTCTTTCCTCAGCATTCTTATCACTTTCTCATATTTCTCAAAGATACAGCTATGAACAGAAAGATATAAGAGATTGCACACACTCAATACAATCATGAAATATCTGTATAGTACTTTTTTGGAGATACTTGGCATGGAATCCAACATTGTATATTTCTTAGGATATAAAAAAAAAGTTTCTAGCTATACAAATGTAAGATTAAAGCTATTTGAAAGATTCTATTTTTGGGTAAAACTTTATCTGATAAGGGTGAAAAACATTATATTTATCATATATTTGACCAACAGATAAATTTCAAGAATCACAACTAATTATGATAAAAAAGGACAAATATAACTGTTCTAAAATATCTAAAAGGAATTAGAGGAACTACTGCAATTTGCTTTACAAACTATAGAACAGTATTTGGCTGCGGTCAAGGAAATAAAATCAGATTGAAATGATAGCAATTTAAGATAAGAGTCAGGATGACCAGGATATTTAATAAAAAATGGAAATAAGAATTCTTGGCCAGCATCTTCATAGAGATGCAAAATAACATGAGTAACACTGAAGAATAACAATGCAGACTAACAAGGAACTGAAGGCTAAAACATATGATGAATGGATGCAGGAACTGGGTACATTCAGGCTAACAAGGAGTTGAGATGATGTGATAGTCTTTCAATTTTGGCTGTCCATCTATTGATGGCAGGAGAAGAAGCAATGGATGGAAAGTAATGTAGGAGAAAATCAATTTAGAACTAAGGAGAAATTTTCTGACAGTTGGAACAATTAACCAGTGGAAAGGTTTATATTCAGATATTGTGGGTGTTCCATCACTACTGCTTTTTAAGTAGAGATTGACAGCCATTTGTCTAGAATGATATATGTCTCTTACTTGAGAAAGAGGTTGAACTAGTAGACCTCCAAAGTCCCTTCCAATGCTATTATTCTGTCATTCTGTTTTTCCTTTATTATTCTGTTGTTATTCTGCTGTGTTGTATCTTTTCATTTATTCCTCCACTGCATGGACACAGTCTCTGTTCAAAGGGGATCTTTCAGTGTCTTCCTTCAGTAACAGATTTTGAGAGGACATTGATTCTGACTAATTAAAAGGACCTTCTGAATTTTGGGATCTTTATGTGTCTAAGATATCAAGCTGGTTGGAGAAGGTGTGTAGAGTGGCTCAAGAAAGTGTTTCTGGGTAGAACTGAAGAGTCTGCTTGCCTCTTCCTGTACACTTTCTATCAAGGTATGCAATCTGAAACCTACTTATCTTCTCTACGGTGTAACATCACCTCCTATATGTAAAGGAGTCAGGGGCTTTGAAGTTCCTTTAGACAGATCTGATTTAGCTCCCTTGTGTCTCTTCTGGCTGGCAGCAGCTCTTGGTATTCAACCAAAGTCTTTCTTAATTCTGCAGAAGTCTTGGATCACACCCAACTCATTTGCATGAAAAACTCATGTCCTCCATTTTAACTGTGACAACTCCAAGAGCAGTATATTATTCTTAATAAAATAAATAAAAGATTAGAGTCTATCTTACTTCAAACCGTTGCATGCACTAATGCTTGCAGTTGAGTCAGCATCATTCTGGATGCGTCCAAGATAATAGCAGTGATCCTGGAGGGAGGCAAGAGGACTCCACTGGTTAAAGCTTGTTTATAGTGGGATTTGATGAGCAGAAGTACAGTTCCAATATATTCCACCACATCAATACAATATTAAGACAGCAGTTATTCAGAAAATTTTGATTCAGGGGGACAGAACATCTTCTTAATATTGATTGTTGCAAAATGAACATAGGATAAATGCAAGTCTCCATATATCAGGGGGAATCTTTTGGGCAGACAACCAACACACAAATATAAAATGTTTTCTTGGAGGTCAACTCTAGTGCTGAACCACAGGATTTGCTGAAGAAACTTTCAGACTTCATGGTTGTTCTACATTCTGAAGTCTTACCATAATGTATGAAAAAAAATTCCACATTTACTAATGATACCAAATAATCATTATTTCCTTGAGCTCACACAAGGAAAGTTTCAGAATATACAAAGAGAGATAATTCCTAGCATTATCTGGAAGCAGGATCCATGTAGACATTAAAATCAAGAGATTTCTGCTTCACACTAAATAGGAGCAATTTGAATGACCTTTGAAGATGCTAAGCCAGAAGTAGATAATTTTTGGAGACAGAGAATGCACTTTTAGATCAATTTGGGGGCAAGGAGCCAAGGACTTCATGAAGCATGTTAGTGTGTCATTTTTTTGCAGTTGGCAGGGCCATGTTCTGGACCATTTTAATGTGAAAGAGATTAAATGGATTTCTGTATAGGGGCAAAGTGAATTGTTATCACTTTTGGTATTACAGATAAAAGACTTTGCATGTATCCCTATAGTCTGGTTTAAAAATAAAAATATAGATCTTATAAACCTGATGTTCTCATAATAAATCTATTTGTGAAACTCACTCCCCAAAATGCTGGTTTTCAACCAGTAGGAAAGAACTTGATGATTGAAATACTGCCACGGTAATTCAATGAGTAAAACAAACTGGGTTTAAAATCCATACATACTTCTAAGTACATATCAATATAAGATACTTCATGGATATATAGCCCTTCTTTTTTGAGTAGCCTGGTCTCGTTCTTGTATATTTGTAATATTGTGCACAAACATTTGCTTCAATTTACTTCCTAAAAGCAACACTCTTAAAAGTGAGACCCTACCTCAACCAGGGGGTATGTTGTAATTTCTCTGCCATCGGGGGAATAATGAGTCTCGCTGTAATCTTCTGAAAAAAGTCCTCTGCAAAGAAGAGAATATCTATGTCAGGAATTAAGTAGGACTGAGATAATTTTATAATAAGTTTACAACTTCTGTATAATGGCATTATAAACATTTTGTTTGGTATCAAAAGAATGGAGCATGTATTTCAATCCCATGGCTATTTAAGAGGAGGGTGGTGCATACTAGATTCACCTGAGGAAAGAGACTTACACCAAAGAAGTTGTGCAAGACTCAGAGAGGAGTATGATTGACCAGGAGAAGACATTTTGTGTTGTGTCTTCCTTTTATTCTTCTGGTCTATGCAATAATCTGTTGAAACTGCTTGGTCTATAAAGGGGAGCAGTATAGCTCTATTTACTAAAGAGTAAAATGAAGCCACCTCAAGGAAATGGATGCCTTGTCACATCTATAAACTTGTCATTGCCTTTCATTTTTCTAATCTAGAAATCCTTGCAAGTCTTCCCCCTGTAGCCCTGCTTTGCTTCCATGCCAAAACAAGATCATCCAGATGCTACCCTTGAATTTCTGTATAGCCTTCATAAAACAAAAGGGGACACTAGAACTTCTAAAGCACACATTAGAATTTAGCATGAAATGTCTCCAGTGGAATAGAATAAAGTGACACACAGATACCCACATATAGGGCAATTTCTTTATAGCTTGTATTTAATAATAAAGACAGTATACATTTAGAGACATATATAGAATGGTGAAAGCCAAAATCCATTTTGTAATCAAAGCCAGACATTCATTCCCAATGCACCAACAATGTATCTCAATATTAAACTGCACCAGGCTGCAGAGACATGTTTATAGTGTAGTGGCTGCCATACTAATTTAAATGGTGATATGGCATTTACAGGATTTAGGGTACTGAAAATGGCATAGCTATGGAATGGTATAGTCTGCTGATTGAGCAGGGGGTGGACTAGAAGGCCTCCAAGGTCCCTTCCAACTACGTTTGTCTTTTGTGCTGAAAAATAGTTTCATTCCATTTCTGTGGCTTACATTTTCATAATATTTTTATTCATATCTTGATTTACAGTTCAAATGGAACACCATTGAGAATACCCACATGGCATTCTTTAAAAAAAGTGTTGGGAAATCTGGGCTTATTAGGTCATGTCCCTTGTTGGGCCCTAAGAGGACATGACATTTCCTGCCTTTCCTGCTTTAACATATAAATTCTGATGTAAGTTGAGCAGCTATGCAGGTCTTGTAGGAAATGTTATTCAGATTAGTGGACTATTTGTGAAGCAGCATAAGCAATCATTTAAAATTTCTGCAATATTTCAAAACTAAACTAGTTAATTCAAGTGATAGACGGTTATGAGCCTTGTATGGTTCAACTCAATCTAAAATTGTTATGATCGAGCAATGTCCCATAGGAGAGCAAGAATAAAAAATTCTCAGTTCCGAGGTAAGATATAATTAACATACTCAATATCTATATCCACTTTTCCTACACAGTAACATTTAATTTAGTTTTAATTTCCAAACAATTGAATGCAATTATTATTTCTCTTAGATTGGGTCCAGGAACATAAATTTTCCACATTGTCCAAGTAAAGTTAAGAAATAGTCTGAGTTAACATACTTATTTTTTTCCAGGTGAAGGACCACTGGCTCTCCATTCACCTTAAATTCATATTGCATGGCGTCTTCATACTGAAAAGCAAAGAGTTCAGGGTTTATTTTTTAAAAAATCAGGTAAATATAATGTATATCCTCTTAACAACTGTAAACCTGTATCAATTTAAATCTAACAAATAATTTGTCATAGCCAAATTATTTATTACATTTAGAGTATTTCATCTGGTGCTTGGTACTGTGAGATCATAAATAAACTTTCTTGCATAATTTCAAGATCTCATTCTCTAATTGAACAGCTTGGTGAATGAGGTTGAGCTGGGACAGAGATTCAAAAGTCATCCAGTGACACAACCTTTACATTTCAAAGTGATGCATTCTGGGAAGCTAGAAAGGATAATTTGAAATCTCTTGGTTCACAGTTGTCACAGCTTTTATGAAGAGCATCAAAAAGAAAAAGAATTCCCTCAAAGTTACCTATTAACAGTAAATGTATGTTAGGCACAAGTAATCAGATCCACACATGCAGAGTTTAAATTGAATACTTTACTGTATTCTGCCTATAATACAGGAATCTCCCTAGACTGTTTCTCTTGTATTCAGAACAAATAGATAAACTTTAATGGAATTTCCTGGGAGGGGCAGAGGATGTCAGTCCTGGATCTGTTGCAGCTATGAAATGACTCATGGCTAATTCCCTACTTGATCCCTCTTCCCTGTACGGCTGGGTATCTCCCAACACTTTATTAGTTATACTAACCTATTAATATTAGGAAATTCTGTTTGTAAATTGCCAGGAGTCTCCTCAATTTTGTGTGTATTGGGAGGCTATATAAATTTGTTTAATTAATAAATAAACAATTCAAACAGGAACATAGATTGCAATGCAAAATCCAGATAACCATTGTTGTTGTTAATTGCAAAGTCGTGTCCGACCCATCGCGACCCCATGGACAACGTTCCTCCAGATCTTCCTGTCCTCTACCATCTTCTGGAGTCCATTTAAATTCACATCTACTGCTTCAGTGACTCCATCCAGCCATCTCATTCTCTGTCGTCCCCTTCTTCTATTGCCCTCAATCTTTCCCAGCATTAGGCTCTTCTCCAGTGAATCCTTCCTTCTCATTAGGTGGCCAAAGTACTTGAGTTTCAACTTCAGGATCTGGCCTTCTAAAGAGCAGTCGGGGTTGATCTCTTCTAGGACTGACCGGTTTGAACGCCTTGCAGTCCAAGGGACTCGCAGGAGTCTTCTCCAGCACCATAGTTCAAAGGCCTCAATTCTTTTGCGCTCAGCCTTTCTTATGGTCCAACTTTCACAGCCATACATTGCAACTGGGAAAACCATGGCCTGGACTATACGCACTTTTGTTGGCAGGGTGATGTCTCTGCTTTTTAGAATGCTGTCTAGATTTGCCATAGCTTTCCTCCCCAGGAGCAAGCGTCTTTTAATTTCTTGGCTGCAGTCCCATCTGAGGTGATCTTGGAGCCCAGAAAAATAAAATCTGTCACTACCTCCATTTCTTCCCCATCTATTTGCCAGGAGTTGAGAGGGCCGGATGCCATGATTTTGGTTTTCTTAATGTTGAGTTTCAAGCCAACTTTTGCACTCTCCTTCTTCACCCGCATCAAGAGGCTCTTTAGTTCCTCTTCACTTTCTGCCATTAGAGTGGTATCATCTGCATATCTTAGGTTGTTGATATTTCTCCCGGCAATCTTAATTCCAACTTTTGATTCATCTAGCCCTGCCTTTCTCATGATGTGCTCTGCATATAAGTTAAATAGGCAGGGCGACAGTATACAGCCTTGCCGGACTCCTTTTCCAATTTTGAACCAATCAGTGGTTCCGTGTTCGGTTCTCACTGTTGCTTCTTGACCCACATATAGGTTTCTAAAGAGACAAATGAGATGGTCTGGTACTCCCATCTCTTTAAGAACTTGCCACAATTTGTTGTGATCCACACAATCAAAGGCTTTTGCATAGTCAATGAAGCAGAAGTAGATGTTTTTCTGGAACTCCCTAGCTTTCTCCATGATCCAGCGTATGTTGGCAATTTGATCTCTAGTTCCTCTGCCTCTTCGAAATCCTGCCTGTACTTCTGGTAGTTCTCGATCCACATACTGCTGGAGTCTAGCTTGTAGGATTTTAAGCATAACTTTACTAGCATGTGAAATGAGTGCAATGGTGCGATAGTTTGAACATTCTTTGGCATTGCCTTTCTTTGGAATTGGAATGTAAACTGACCTTTTCCAATCCTGTGGCCACTGTTGAGTTTTCCAAATTTGCTGGCAAATTGAGTGTAGCACTTTTACTGCATCGTCTTTTAAGATTTTGAATAGCTCAGCTGGAATACTGTCACCTCCACTAGCTTTGTTGTTGCTCAGATTTTCTAAGGCCCATTTCACTTCACATTCTAGGATGTCTGGTTCGAGGTCAATGACCATCTCATTGTGGTTATCTGGGATGTTAAGCTCATTCTTGTATAGTTCTTCTGTGTAGTTTTGCCATCTCTTCTTAATCTCTTCTGCCTCTGTTAGGTCTCTGCCATTTTGGTCCTTTATCATGCCCATCTTTGCATGAAACGTTCCCTTCATATCTCCAATTTTCTTGAAGAGATCTCTGGTCCTCCCTATTCTGTTGTTTTCTTCTATTTCTTTGCACTGTTCATTTAAGAAGGCATTCTTATCTCTTCTAGCTACTCTCTGGAATTCTGCATTCAATTGGGTGTATCTTTCTCTTTCTCCTTTGCCTTTCGCTTCCCTTCTTTCCTCAGCTATTTGCAAAGCTTCCTCAGACAGCCATTTTGCTTTCTTGCATTTCTTTTTCTTTGGGATGGTTTTAGTTGCTACCTCTTGTACAATGTTGCGAACTTCCATCCATAGTTCTTCAGGCACTCTGTCTATCAGATCCAGTTCCTTAAATCTATTTGTCACCTCTACTGTATATTCATCAGGAATATGATTTAGTTCATACCTGAGTGGCCTAGTGCTTTTCCCTACTTTTTTCAATTTAAGCCTAAATTTTGCAACGAGAAGCTCATGATCTGAGCCACAGTCAGCTCCTGGTCTTGTTTTTACTGACTGTATAGAGCTTCTCCATCTTTGGCTGCAGAGCACATAGTCAATCTGATTTCTATGTTGACCGTCTGGTGATGTCCATGTGTAGAGCCGTCTCTTGGGTTGTTGGAAAAGAGTGTTTGTTATGACCATCGTATTCTCTTGACAAAATTCTATTAGCCTGTGCCCTGCTTCATTTTGTACTCCAAGGCCAAACTTGCCTGTTATTCCGGTTATCTTTTGGCTTCCTACCTTAGCATTCCAATCCCCCATGATGATAAGGACATCATTTTTTGGTGTTAATTCTATAAGGTGCTGTAGGGCTTCATAGAACCGGTCAATTTCATCCTCTTCAGCACCAGTGGTTGGGGCATAGATTTGGACTACTGTGATATTGAATGGTTTGCCTTGGATTCGAATTGAGATCATTCTGTCATTTTGAGGATTGTATCCCAGTATTGCTTTTCCTATTCTTTTATTGACTATGAAGGCTACTCCATTTCTTCTGAGGGATTCTTGCCCACAGTAGTATACCTGATGGTCATCTGAGTTAAATTCACCCATTCCTGTCCATTTTAGTTCGCTGATTCCTAAGATGTCGATGTTCAGTCTTGTCATCTCTTTTTTGACTACGTCTAGCTTGCCTTGATTCATGGATCTTACATTCCAGGTTCCTATGGAGAAAAAATCTTTACAGCATCGGACTTTCCTTTCACCACCAGATATATCCACAGCTGAGCGTCCTTTCGGCTTTGGCCCAGTCGCTTCATTCTTTCTGGCGCTACTAGTACTAGCCCTCTGCTCTTCCCCAGTAGCATATTGGACACCTTCCGACCTGAGGGGCTCATCTTCCAGCGTCATATCTTTTTTCCTTTTAGTACTGTCCATGGGGTTTTCATGGCAAAGATACTGGAGTGGTTTGCCATTTCCTTCTCCAGTGGATCACATTTTGTCAGAACTCTCTGCTATAACCTGTCCGTCTTGGGTGGCCCTGCACGGCATAGCTTATAGCTTCATTGAGTTACGCAAGCCCCTTCACCACGACAAGGCAGTAATCCATAAAGGGGATAACCATTAGATGGTAGCAAAGGAATATCAAAATTTCTGTGGGCTGAAAAGAAATCATTTGTTGATGAAAGAAAGATTTTTTTCTTACCTTTGGCTGAACTGCTCCTTTGGGCAATGCAGTGACTTTTCGTGGATACACTACTTCATAATCATTAACATTCCCAGATTCCAGGATTATAGAGCTCCCTTCGTAAGGAAAAAGAAAAGAAGGTTTGGTTTACTTTGGGATGTTATTCTACCATTCTCACATTCACAATACAATTTGTTATTTAGTTATCAGTGAAGAATGGAATCTTTTTCTAGTGAAACACAGCAGAGAAATCCAGATTTTCTCTGGGAATTCAATTTGTGAATGATGAATAATAAAGTCTAACTGGAGACATTTCTTTTGGTAGGTGCAAAAGAAACATTTTGCAACTTGAACAATCAGAAATAAATCAATAAATAAATCTCAACCAATCTGCAAGTTCGTGCACTGAGTGATAAGGATAACATCAGGAATTGTAAATCACAATAATCTGATTCACACAATTCAGTAAACTATACTGCATTGTGGTTTAGTATATCCATTAGTCAAAAAACTAGGCAAACTTATATTTCTATGCAAATGCGGCTTATTAGGAATTCCTTTCAGTTGAATTGCTTTTTCACTGCCATCCTAATAGTTTTGCTGATTTTTCTTTCTTTCACTTTCAAAAGAATCTATCGACAGCCCACAACATCATAATTATCACTGGAACACCTAACAACATGTAAATAAGTAGTGGTTTCAGAATTAGACTAATAGTTGAAAAATTTAGAGTTGGTACCCATATGGACATTGCATGGTCACTTGCTATTTGTTCCTTAACTTATTTTGGAAAAATGGCAGACTGACACCTGCAGATCCTCTTGGATGCACAGTCACAACTGAGACCAAGATTTGTTAGCAGATAAATGGAAGCGAGGGGGTAAGGTTGTGCTTATACTTGCAAGTGGAAACAAAAGAATAAACTCAAATATCAATAACCACAGGGTACAGGAAAGAAACTGCTAGCCCAACACCTACAGGAGAGAGAGAGAGAGAGAGAGGGAGGGAGGGAGGGAGGGAGGGAGGGAGAGACAGAGACTAGTATTTGGCCCTGGAAATGTGTCTTCTCAGACTGATGGGCAGCCCCAGACAGGAGAATACATCTTTCTCATACCTATTTATGTACCTACCCATTTGTACCTGAGGCTCCCAGAAACACAGAGGGGTTCAACTCCACCTACTAGCAAGCAAGCTTACTATTCCTCTCTTGCTTAGAGCACAGAATAAGCAGCAATTTCCTTTCCATCTCCCTTTCTTCTTTCCTATATTGTTCTCCATAAGTTACTGCTGCCCCATCTTTCCTTGCTATTTAAAACAAACAAAAAACAAAAACAAAAAACAGGGCTACCTCACTGAGTCTCTAACCCTTAATTGTGTTTGGCAACTTCTGAATCAATTGAGTATCATTATTTGTAATGCTCTATGGGAATGACTTGGGAGACAGGAAGAAGAGCCATAGACTGGTCAACTGGCATGGAAAAAATATCTCAGCCCACAGAAAGAAGCAGAACTTGGGAAGAATTTCAGAAGGGAATATCCCTGGTTTTCTGCAGAGTAAAAGGAAAGGAGGGAAAAAATAATTTAAGATAATTCAAAATCTTGCATTGAGAAAAGTTAGTGTCATATTATCTTGAGTACAGTTTGAAGATTCTCTGTCACAACAATAGCACTAGCTTTTGTTTGGCTGAATATTATGAATGCTTAATTATAGGATGTGTAAATAACTCATTGAAAGAAAATTAAAACCGAAAACACTTTATGTTTCTTTAACATTTTGCTTTCTGAAATTTTCTTGCTACAAACTCTGTCTCTCTGTCCTCTTTAGTCTTCTAATCCTTTTTAAAAAACCCATATCATTGGAAAACGTTCTCTCCAACGTGAACGTGCTTTTCTTCAGAAGATCTTAAGACTTTTCTTTCTTAGGATCTGCTTGTGGCTTGACAAAATTTAAGAAAATACCAGGAAACCATTTATGTAACTTTAGAACAAATGTGATCCTTGAGACCATTCTTTTGCTAAATCTGTAGAAACTGAAGTGGAACAAATGTTGGTTAATTGTCAAAAATAAAACCCAGAACAAAACCCATCAACATAGCAATCTGTTGGGTGTAATAGTCTTTTAGCAGTAAAATTCTGAACAAGGAACCAAAGAGAACATCTTACCTTGATAAGGAAAAACTGCTAAGAATATAGTTACCAAGAGAACTTCAATCATTTTGGAGGCTGGATTTGGCTGGAAGACAGGCAATCTCTTCCTGCTTTCAAGCCAACTGAGCTCTTCCTCTATTGACTATGAGAAGCAAGGAATGAGTCCTTCAGCTTCATTCATGCCCTCATATGAGAAGGTGCTTGCTAAAGAATTTGCATAAATTCTGAGTTGTAACAATACTACTGGAGGGCATTTTTCCAGGTGGCTTAGCACATATCACTCCAAAAATGACAGCTGAAAGGGTTCATTCAAGGCATCCCCAAAGCAAAAGCCCAAAGGAGGCTATTCATTGGTCACAGCATACCTTTCCCTGGCTCACCTGTTAATATAACTAAATTTGGGGCCTCTGGTGCATGGGGTCTTAAATGCCAAGAGTTGGTTTTTACGGTATTTTGTGAATAAGAGGCAGTTTTGGAGCAATCTAGCCTCCTTTCAATATTGCTAGCGTTGACTGAATCCATTCAATGCATTTGCCTAAGGGATCCCTGATTTCACTACAGGGGAAAAAAAACCCTCTGTGCCATAATAGATTCTCACTTTGTAGAGAACTCAAGAACTTTTGTTATCTCTTCATATAATTCCTTCAACAGCTCCTCCATTTTCTGAAACAGGGCCTTTCTATGTTGATGCAAATGTCAGCTGCAATAATATGCATTCAAATTGAGGACAATTAATCAATGGAATGACTTGTTTTCAGAAGTTGTGGGTGCTCCGACATGGGAAGTTTTTCAGAAGAAATTGGACAACCCTTTGCCTGGAATGGTATAGGATTTCCTGTTTGAGCAGGGGGCTGGACTAGAAGATCTCCATGGTCCCTGTTATCCTATAAAGGCCTTTTGAAGGGGAACTCTGAGATGAATCACAGAGCAGAGTGAATCATTTCAATTGCCTTAAGAGGACCCACTTTTCCTTTCTAAACTCTCCTTTTGTCTCCACCTGAGATAGAAATCTATAAAGGACAATAAAGATGAGTGTGGAAAAAGGGGCACTACCCACCCTCTTGTTGAAGCCAAAGCAGAAATCTTTGGTGAAAGAAAAAGAAAAGAGGAAAATCTACAAATGCAAACGAACCATCTCTTCATTTAGAAACAAGAAAGTAAGTGAGCCTTTGAAACTCTCTTTGGTGGCCATATTGTTTTCTTTCAGATCTTCTGCCCTCACCATCACCAGCGCTCCTCTCTTGAAATAACTCCAGACTAATTAAAAGTGCAAAGCCTGTTAGGGGAAGAGCTATAAAAATAGCACCAAGCCACATCTTATGCTGGATTTAACCTTTCTGTTTGAGGGGAGGATAAAATGTATGCATGATGTATACCTACTTATAATGCTTTTCTTATCTCAGCTTGATGCAGAGTCTAATCTAAAATTTCTAAATTCTTCTCTCATAATAGAAAACAGGAGGAAAAGCTTTCCCTTTCTGTCACCTTAAAAATGAGTTAACCAATCAGCTCTTTTGAAGTGAGAACATGTTTCTCAAAGAATGAAGAGAAATCCAGAATTTCAGGATTGAGGTAGCTCATAGCTGCTACTCACCTGAACAACCTCACTCTCCTCCATTAATTTGTCTCTCTGTAGCTCTATATTTATTTCTGAAGGAGAGATCATGACTCACATCAGTAGACAAGGAAACATCTAGATCATCTCACATTTTTCTCCTAGGATAATTGTTCTTCATTTCCAGGTGATTCAGATTAATTCTGTCTAAATTGTTATTGTCTGATCTCAGTTTTCCTTTTTCTGAATGTGGCTATGTTTGCTGTATTATTTATAATATATGCTGTATTTGGACTGCAAATTTATTTAGTTTTAGCATAGTTTTATTTGCTAGAACTAGATTTTGTCTTTTTCCTTTGTATGAATTGATCAATGGCTATAAGAAAGTTTTTTCACTGATTGATAATTAGCTACTTCATAAGCCAATTTTCTGTGTAAATTATTTTAGTTGTTTGCCACAACAGCCTGAAAAATAGGTTTCTGATCAAGTCCAAGTTTTTTCCCTTTCCTTCTCTTCTTCCACATTCTGGGCAGTTCAAGATGTTAGGATTCCCCATCTGTTCTCTTATTCCACATCTCCCTCATTTGGTAAAATCAACATTATTTATTTTTTCTTCTACCTCCACTATGAAAAGAAAACCTATATAGCAAATTTTGCTGAGTAATTCACTATCTTAGTAAAAAAAAATTTTTTCTGCCTGCATTTTATTCAACTGGGTGAATGTATGTATAGGTATATGTACTCTACACATAAGGATTTTTCTTTCAGAATCTTTTGCCTTATCTTTAATAATAGTCCCTTAGACTTCCAGATATTGCTAATCAACTGGGCATCTCCAGTGTGGTCAATATATCTAAATTTTAATTTAATAGCATCCCTTCTACAAAATTCATTAAGACGTATTGCCAAATGTTCAGGTTCAAGAATCCTTCAGTCCTCTTTGCTGATGTAGGAGTTCTTGTCTAGGTCGAAGTTGCCTCTTGGATTTCCATTCTCTATCATGCATGCCTTACTTTAAAAGAAGAAGCTTCGGTATATCTCAATGATCTGTTTGTTCTTTTCAATTATATTAGGAGGTGAACCTCTTGAGGTCCTTGTATTAGAGGTAGCAGTCATAAATTCTTCTCTGCTTTGAGTGCTTGACAGGCCTCTTTAATTGTGATTTATGGCTTTTAGTGCTCCTGAAGGGATATAATACATCCCAAATTGCAACTTTATCAGTTTTTGGCCAGCCATCACCATGATGGGCCATGAACAGGCACTGGCACTCTAAATCAATGGCCCACTGAACTGAAACAGTGGGCCATTGATTTAGAACTGTAAGCAGAATCTCCAACTCTACTCGTGGAGAATGAGTGTGCAGCCATATACATTTCCTAAATAAATAAATAAATTCTCAGAAATCCCTTCTTCAGCTACTCTGCACATCTTCTCCAACCAGTCCGATATCTCAGTCACACAAGTATCCCAAAATTCAGAAGGACCTTATCCCTGGCACAATTCAATACCCTCTCAACAGCAATTCCTGAAGGAGGAGACCAAAAACCCCCTTCTGTCCATGTGGTAGAGGAACTATTAAATTGATGGAACATGTTATTCTCTAATGTTCTCTCTATGCAGGTGCTTGCCAAGAATTATTTCTATTCTTTACTAAATAATCTGGTCATTCTGGTTTGGTTTATTTCAAGACATTGTTATTATTACATCGATCTGCTTACATTTCCTTGAGCATAGCAAGTACTGTCCTATAATTTGTACAGAATACCATATTTACTCTAATCCTTTTTAGATATTTTAGAACAATTATATTTTTTCCTTTTATCCTATTTACCTGTGATATTTGTGTTGGTCTCTTATTATGTATTGTCATAATCTAGGAGTAATTGGAAACTAAATCAAATAATATTATATTGTTCAAAGAGATGAAACATAAAGAGAAAACTCATCAATGTTAATCTAAGGAAATTGCTGCATAAGAACTGTATTCAAGAATCTATTTTATTCTCTTACATTAATCTCCTACATTTCCTCTATAGAGCTCAAGATATACATGACATCACTTCCCATTTTATCCTCACAGCACCAATCTTGGGAGTTAGTCTGGTCTAAGAAAAATAATAGTCCAAAGTCACCCAGTGAGATATGGTAACTGGAGACCTACACATGGCTATCCTGAGTCCAATCCAACATCTTAATTTATATCACACTGGCCCTTGAAAAAGATTCCAAAGTAAAATAAATGTTAAAATTCATTGGAAAGTCTAGGATAGACCTTTGTAGATTTGCAGATGATTCCAAGCATGCTGGGATCATTCTTCCTTTTTGTAAGTTAACCTTTAAAAAAAAGGTTAGTGAGAGAACCTCAGAGAAGTATTTTCTCCAGGAAGTTAATATCCGTTTCACCCCACTCATCAGCTGACAGAAAGTTCTTTACAAGGAAAATAAAACTGAAAATATTTGTGTGGACACAGACTTTGCAGGCTGAAAGCTCTCCTGAGTCACAAGGTCAATAGAAAAGACAAAAAGGTTTTGTTTGTCATTCATGAGCTGTCAGTAAGATGTTTTCATTTGGATAAGAGGAAGATGTTTACTGTAAACAAGAAGAAGTGGTTCCTTGCCAAGTCACAATATTCCATAACTAGCAGCAGCCATTTCCAATACACTTATAGCATTGTTGCACTGGGATTAAAATCTTATTTTTCTTGGAAAATAAGCATGAAAGAAAGAAGGGCCAGATTTAAGTCTTTGGAGCTGTGACCTGTCCCTGGAGACCTCTGAATCTCAGCACTATCCACATTGTGCAGTTCCCATTGTATAATTACAGACCTATTGTCAGTTGCAGATAACCGAGAGCAATCATAGAACATAGAACAATGGGGTTGGAAGAGACCTTGGAGGTCTTCTCTTCCAAGCTCTACCCAGGGCAGGAAACCCTGCACTGTTAGAGACAAATGGCTGTCCAATCTCTTCTCGAAAACCCCATCTAAAGCGTAAAAAGGTATTTCACTATTTGAGAAAACCTAATGCTCATATAATCTGTCTTCAAGAAACATATATTAAAAAACAACACCAGAAATTTTTAATAAATAAAAGACGTGGGGAGGAATTTATATCTGCTGGGCTAAAAAAGATTAATGGAGTGGTTTTATATGTAAAACCGAATTTAAACCTAGGCTACTTTGATCAGATGAATATGGTAGATTTGTAACAGTGGAAAGTGAATTGGTCTTTATGTGCCAAATGAGGAAAAAAAAATTTCTTTGAGTACATTATGGACCAAATTTTCATATGAAAATTGGCTTATGTGGGGGATTGGAATGGTGTGACTTTGCCACTTTGGGATAGAACATCTATTAGGAGGATCAAACCCTCCCAGGGTAAATTACCAAAAACATTCTTTGAAATGATGGACAATTTAATTCAAGTAGATTCATGGGGGCAATTGTAAAGGACTGTAAGAAGAAATTACATGACTATTTTGATAATAATCTAGGCAAAGGGACAGACCTAACAACTGTCTGGAAGAGTAGTAAGGCAGTTATGATGGGTTATTTCATACAATATAATCAGTTATAATCTGGAAAAGACCCAAAAGATATTTGATCCAATCAGAAAGAAAGAAATTGAATTGCAAAA